TTGATGAATATATTGACCAGGACCAGAGCCCGTACGGACCCCAGGGGCTTCTTACGGACCTCCAAGTAGACTCTGCGCCCCTAATCACAACCCCCTGAGCTCTATTTTCCAGCCAGTACTCTGTGAGAGCTCGTTGGCAGAGATTTCCTCGTACGAACGGTGTCTGGCCTCCCAAGTAATGTTCCGATCCCACCCCGAGGTGCAGCCCGCAATTACGTGGTTCCCAGTCGACTCCCGTGGTCGGGGGCCTTTAATGTATTTGAAAGGTGACAGCTGCCTTTGACTTTCTTCTGATTTTTACGGTCCTTCGTGTCTGCTGTTAAATAGGTTATTTAATAATTAGGGAATAGTAGTAGCCGTTGCAGGCTGCTCGCTGTAACTTCTAGCTTAAATGTTAAACCCAACTCTGAAGCCTAAACCTGTGTTGTTCTTTTAACGGACTTAAGCCTGCCAGAATAAATCAGTGAAATGTTGTCTTTTGCAGGGGTTTATTTCTGAGACTTTATGTAACGTTCTAGAGATTTATTCCCCTAAAACTTGAAAAATAACCTGTAACAAAATGGGGGTTTGAGACTTTTTGCTCTCGCTGGCGTTCTCAGTTGAACAATCTGGGAGGGAGGACACTGCCCTACGGTCTCAGTTGCTAGCGAGCCTGTATTGGATCCAAACCATTTGAATTGAGAACAAAAGAATGATTTAATTTGCTTTCCTTCCAAAAAAAAAAGAGATTGGTTTGACGCTAAACCCGAACAAGCGTACAGCACAAACACCGCTTTCAAAATCCCCGTTAGGTTTGCAGGCATTGAAATGGTGCCTTGTACTAACTGTTTATTTTGGGATTGGTACTCGGCGCTTCTTTGGGTGAGAATCCGCCTGATATCGGTGCTTCCCAAAAAGACTAAACTATTCCCTGTTAAATCTATTGTAGGTTGAGATGGGCCGTAACCGTAGGATAAGTTCTTTACAGTTTTGACTGTTTTTCGGAGTCTGCGTGGAACGATCCTGATTATTTCTGATGTGACATTGAGAACCTTATTGAGAAGCCTTTATATGGGTAGCCTGAGCAGTATGTGGCTCCAAAGAGTAAAGAGCAATTGAAACTGGTTTGTTAATACTTAAAGGGTAGATTTACAGATGGAGTTGTTCTTCCGCATCCAAAAACTGTGGAAGAAATGGAAAATAATAGGTAGAATAGAAAGGAATGGGGTGTGGGCAGAGCTACTTACCCAGTGAACTTCCCCCCCTCCTTCTCCTCTTCCCTCCTTGCAACACACTTCGGGTACAAACCTTATGTTTCTTAAGGTCTTTATCCACCAAAACCGCTTTTATGTGCTAAAATAGGAATTCTTCTGCTATTTGTTAGGAGTAACACTGACTCTTGTTTTGGGTTTGCTTTTTCAGACCTCCTTCTGGATGACCCACGTGTAATTTTAACCGATTGTATCGGAAACTAAGCCTCCAACTTCCCATTCGTTCCAGCTGGTAGCGACGCTTATAATGCCAAAAAAATCCCAGTTCAGGAGCACGCAGACATTACTCTTCAAACTTTCTAGATGATTGTAGTTGCTTTGGTTGTGTTCTATGCTAGCAGAAGCCTTTTCCAAGGTTTGCTGTCGGCTCTAGAGCGCCGCGTTCCCCGCTTGCTGGGAGCCTTGGGGGCTGGCGATATGGGGAACTCGTGCGTTTGCCGCGACGACAGCGGGGCGGAAGACAACGTCGAATCGCAGAGCCGGCAGACGGAGGACAGGAGAGCGCGCGTCCCCGAAGCGAGAAGCCACCCGAGGGACCCTGTTCGTCCACCCAGGAGGGGTCGAGGGCCTCACGAACCCAGACGGAAAAAACAGAACGTGGATGGGCTAGTGCTTGACACACTGGCTGTAATTCGGACGTTAGTAGATAAGTAAGTACCTCCTCAAGGAATAATTCAACGTCAATGAAAATGTTCTTGTCTTCTCTCAAACTGTGGCCTCGTCCTCTCACCGATCTGCGCCTGACCCTCCCTGAAGCAGCTGTGTTGCCATCTGGAGGCTTAGGAGAGGAGCTCCTTCCCTTAGGTAATAGGAGTAGCCCTGGAGTGCTCGGGGACAGACTCCTCCAGGAGCTGAGGAGCTTTCTCGCAGCTCCTGTATGGGTCTACACCCAGGTGGGATGGGGAGCGTGCTCAGTTCCTCACCTGATGTAGATACACAGTTTAGGAAGCCACAAATGCTCTAGTTTGGGCACTTCTGTCCTAAAAAAAAAAAAAAAGGGGGACTAAAAAAAAAAAAAAAAAGGTGGTTGTGCAAGTTTTTCTGTTGTCAGGCTGTATTTGCTTCTTCGGAAATGGTTACGGAGCGAGAGCTTTGATCTTTGTTAGTTTGTCTAAACAGACTGAGGTTTTCTTTCCAGTGAAATCTGACTACTTGTGCAAGAGCGCGTGTTGCGCCTGGTCGCCTCGGGATCACAGTATCTCATTCTTTGCAGGCTCAAAGCACCCATTAAGTGCGTGGGGGATATTTATGGATTCACCCCTATTTATTTTGGGGGGTTGGGTTGCTTTTCTACATTGAGAAGGACCTTAAGAATGATGAGTTAACTCATCACCTCTCGGCTTAGGGGCGGGCTGGGGACTGGAAAGGCCGAAAGAGAAGGGAAAACAGTTTTCTAGCTCCGTCGCTGAGGTTTGAGTTTAAGGTGGAACGTTCCAGCAAAGGAGGGGTTGGTCTTCCTGCTTTAAAATAGAAATACCAGGACACATCTGTTTGTTTTTGTGGTTTTTTTTCTGAATGCTTAAATCTAAGGGTGGGGGTTTTGAAGTTTTGTTGGTGTGTTTTCTTGTGGGTTTGTTTGGCTTTTTTTTTAATCTGTCTTCAGATCATGAAGTTAAAAGTACAGCAAACTTTTCTGACAGTCTCTAATCTCTCAGACCTTCCCTTTTCCCCTCGGTTCAGCCCCTTGAGCCTTTTCCCAACACCTTTGTGCATAGTTGATCCTGTTCCTGTGGGTCTTGCAACTGGTTTTGTAATCTTGTAAGCACTTTCCTACGTTACCGGGGGACAACAAGTGTAGTTATTTCGCTAATCCTGTTTCTGGCAAATTCCTGAAACTACTGTATTTTTAATTTTTTTTTATTTTAATACACACTCCAGCAAAATACTGTTAGACTCGTGCAATCGCATAGGTTGGAAGGGATCTCTTGAAGTTCATCTGCTCCAGCCTCTTGCTTAAAGCCAGGTCTAGCTGGAGCAAGTGTTTTATCCAGTCAAGTTTCCAACATTTTCGGAATACAGACGTTCTCCGCCTGCTTGCGGACATTTCACCACCCCAGCGGTTTAAATACTGAAATATTTTTTAAAGTCGGAGTTGCTGTCGCCAAGAAGAGCCTGACTGTCGGACAGCGACGGGATTTCTCCTCCTTTCCCCTACCCCCCTGTTTAAGGCTGAACAAAACCCGTTTCTCTCAGCTGGTGAATCGTGTTCTCCAGCCCTTACAGCGATGTCTGTCCCGTCCCACCAAAACTGGGCTGGACTGGTGTACTGGTTTCCCTTGTTTCCTAGTAAGGCAGTTGATAAAACACAGCCTGGTTTGTAGCGCAGGTAGATGGTACGAGTTCCTGCAGGTAAGACAAAGACCTGTTCGCAAGGCAAACTATTGAAATGTGGCTGGAAAAAAAAAAATTCAAGGAGCCTCCCCGCTAGGCTTGAAGCTACTGATGGCATTTTTTTAAAATAAATAGGAATGCTAACGTGGAGGGGAAAAAAATATAAATCATGTCTGGGGAGTTTGGGTTTCAGTGTAAATGGGAGAATGTAGGAATAAGTATGTTCTGATATCATCTGCTCCTCCTAAAGCCTGATTTTTTTCCTTTTTTTTAAAATATCAACTGGAGGAAATGATAGGGAAGCTGACAGATCTCTTTTCAGGTAAAAAAAATAAATTGCAAGATTAAAGTCAAACTAAAATGAAACCATGTGAGTAAGAGCAGGTTGGAAGTAGAGACTTCAGAGCAATAGTAAAGCCTTAAAGAATGAAAGTCAGAAGAACGGAAGGCAAAGCCCTTTTTTCTGACCATTTTATTCCCCAAGTCTCTATTGAAGGTTAACGCGTGGGCACACGGCGACGCAGCGGGAGTTGTTATCCTGCGATCTGCAGCGAACAGTTGCCTTCCCCGTTTGCTGTTTGTTTGCGTTTCCTTGTTGGTGTTTTGTTTATTTTACCTCATCTCAAAGTTTGCACCTAAAACCTGTCTGACATCTGCTTTTTTTTTTTTGCTTTTTTTTTTTTCTCCCCTCCTCTCATATCTAGAGAGATCTCCTTTCTAGAAGCAAAGGAGCTAAGCTTCATTTCCTGGCCTCAGGAGGGATAAATGCAGAAGTTTGGAGTTTATATGAAGCGTTGCTTTGCCGAGGAAGAAATGAAGCAACGTGCAAATGGGTTAAAACCCGCTTCAGCATTTCATTGTGGAAATATTTGAGAATGTGTTGATTTTTTGCTAAGAAAAGCATGTATTTACATGGTATATATTCAGTCAAAAACTGAGATTTTTGTCCTGTTTTACAAGGCAGGTAGTTTTATTAGCTGCATGATTAATCCATGTTGGAAGTTTTCTGAAATTTGCCGGTTTTGCGTTTCCAATTGCGCTTCAGAGCCGTTTGATAGAAACGGAGCGTGGGATGTATCCTTCGAAGCCTGGGGTTACAAGCCGCAATGAATTAAAGCATTTAGGACACTCTACTGCATAAGCCTTATTTTCTCAATTTTTTTATTTTTAAACTTTATTTTTTCATTTTTTTTATTTTTAAATTTTTTAAAATTTAAAATTTTCAATTTTTTTCTTATTTTTATTTGTTTTTTCCCTGGACCTGGAGATGCATCCTGCACAGGATTTTGAGGTCTTGGTTTTTTTAGGCATTTCCAACAGCAGCACCTGCCGTGGCCATAACTTCTCGTCCTTC